GTAGAATCCACCACTACAACATCATGTCACTCCCATTCATCTCTTCGCTTGATCTTGGGTAGCCAAGTCCCTTTGGACTTATCATTGTTTCCTTACACCTTTTTGACTATTTGTGTTAACACCTTTGTGTTTATTAAGTATCTCCTCTCCGGTCAATAAAAACACATACTATAACTCCTTTACGCGGCCTTTGTTTTCTTGTTATAGGGTTCACGCTAACTTGCATGCCTTTATTCTTTGTGGCATCACTGGTAGCAACGTTCGTTTGTTCAAACTTGTCCACCGACTGTGTTGGGCTCCCTCGAGCGAATGTATGCTCTAGAGAAGTTCATTTATAATCTTTGATCATACCTTTGTATGATCAAATCCCTCATTGGACTTCATGGCATGTACTAGAAAGATCCACCTCTATGGTACTGCCATTCATTTGTAGATGTCTGCAACTTCATTTGATGTCAATTTGGTTCACACACGAAAGATCATCTCTATGATACCATGAAATTCACTTGTTGCATCCATAGCCTTTTCTCGTCGTGTTGCCCACTGAAATGAAGCTCCTAACATCTCCAACCAACCATCCCTCGGATGATTAAATCCCTCATAGGACTTCCTACGTAGGGTATCACCTTGCCCTGAACGGGCCTCTGCTTTGAGTCATCGCTTGGTGACATCCCAGCAATCCTTTTATCTTTTATTGGAAACGCGATCTGCAACCTTCCCGTTGTAGGACCTTTGCCCATCGATGTTCATCCATTCCCACAGCATCGAGCCACCCATGAATGATGCTTAGCTTTGGGCTAATTCGTCTCCCAATAGCTCTTGGAGTTTCATCGACTTTGTTGAAGGTTGTTATGTAAATGTCTAGATCATGTGCCTCTGCCCCAGCACAATTTCGTTGTGATTGCATCTTAGTGCATTCTCCTATGACAACTTTAGCACTTGAGCATTTTCTTCAAGAGTGCTTGCCTTTGCGGCCTCTCGTCGTGTGCTAAGGTTCTCCAGTTCCAACTTCATTGCTACAAGTTGAGTTGAGTCTCCCTTCCTTGTTTCCCTGTCAATTGCACCACTAAGATATAATGTGTCTGACTTGAAGCTCCCTTTGACCTTGGCACCATGTGAGATGAGTCTCGATCGATCAATATGAAAAAAACTAAGTAACGACATGGTTCTGCTCTTGCGTTTGTATTTATGTCCTCAATCTACGTTCGACGAAATCTCCACAAGGCTTGAACATACTTAAAAGGCAAACGGATGGCTGTGTACAAGGTTTTACATGTTGTGGACCTGCACAATCAGTCTGTGACAACACGGGTTGTTCATGATGATGTGGTGAGATTGCTGTCATGTTATTGCATTAGTGTCACATTGTTTACCTGAGAGCAGTTTTATTCATGAGGCTTGCAGTCACACCATATTGATGTATAGTTTGATCAATGTCGAGTGTCCTGATTTACCAATTGTTGATTCATGTCGATCATTTTGGTTGTAGGAACAGTATATATTTTACTTTTGCATATAATTTATTATAATTATATGTTACTTAGAACTCTTTATGTACATGTATTCTTTGGATAATGCTTTTGAGCGTTATCCAATATATGTTTCAATTGGGTATTTTATATGTTTTTATATTAGAATCACCTTATCGTTACCAATATTGATTATATTTGTTAATAATAGGTGAGAAAGAACACTAAATTAAGGGTTTTTATTTTTCCTGAATTTTTGGGCTTTTTTGATACCATGGTACATATGGACATACCATGTGCCAGTATGCTGTTAAGTACCGGACACATGCTGGTATGGGTCTGGCACTCAAAATTCAATTCCATGATCTGCCTAACTAATCTATGCGCAATTTTGTTCAACTTTTCTATGCTCTTGATGTTTCATGAGATTGATAATCACTTTTGTGGAAATAATATTACTTGACATAACTGGTACTGTTCCATGTATTGTGAGTAATGCTTGGAGTTAAAGGTCGTGCTTAGGAGTAGAATGGCTTACATGGCATTGTGCTTTTGTTACATCATGCCATGCAGCAGATTGTTTCATGATGAGGCATGATGAAATGAATAGTTACAGCACCTTGGGTAATAAAAGATCAACGAGCTTGGTTACATGCTATTTGGTTCTCTCTTTTCCAGTTTGTGGATGATATTTTGGGTTGCTGTGGTATCCAACCTTTTAACTAATCAAGGCGATTGGGACTTGGGCTGGAATTTATTAATCAATATGCAGACCACAGTTTTCATCCAGTACTGGTTCACACTAGGTTCACCACCCTGTAAGAATATCATACCAAGCCTGGTGTCCAATTTTCCTAGTTGGAATCGTATGCACTGGATGGTAGATCTACTGTCCAATAGCTATCCTTTTTGTCTTACTTTTTGATAGCTTTTGGCAGCTGTTCGTCTCTCTCTCTCTCTCTCTCTCTCTCTTCATCTTCCTCCCTCCTAAGCCATTTTCACCTCTTCCTCCACCCTGCCATGTCGCCACCATGGCCACCGTCTCCTCTTAAGGGATTCCTGTATGCCTCTCCCTTCATCTCATCTTCCTCCTCGTCTTTCCCCTTCTTTTCCTCCTCTTTCACCTGTTTTCTTCCTTCTTTCTCTCCTCCTCGTTCCCTCTTTTCTCTCTTTCTTTTTAGTTCAGACAGTATCACCCCATAAGAGTACTGATACGTCGGATTTGTTCCAGAATCATGATGGTCCGGCCACTGACTGATATTTGCACTGACCAAGTTTTTACACCTTGGATAAAACTTCATAATAACCATAGCAACCGTGGATATCATGCCTCCATCTCAAGTAGCATCTCAAGTAGCAACCCTTTCGTTGTGATAGCATCCCTTGCCCATCTCAAGTAGCATGTCTTTGTTATCAACTTTCAAATGAGAGCTTGCGCAAATGTTCTGTATATATCCGCCTCGAGGATAGCTTTTCCTTTTCCAGCAGTCTTAGGTTACACGTGCATGCTGCGTTGGATCACCTAGATTCAACCTACGTATTTCCCATGTCATGTACATGCGACAACTCAATTAAACTGCTATCATGGTAATCTTTTTTTTGAACTCTCCATATTTTCAGGTTGACTACAATATTTCCTGTGTGATGACAGATGCCATGTACTTATCAAACTGGATGGTGGCTGGATCATCTTCGGGATGGTAATGCACTAAAAACACCGGTGTGCCAAGCTAGGGGACATCCAACTTCCCACCTTAAAACAATCTTTGTTACATGTTTGAAGCAATTGCAGGTTTCTAGCTGTAGGTTGGGGTTAGAAGGGCAGTAGGAGTAGAGAATTATGTATTTGGTGGTGTTAGTGGTTGTTTTTGTTCATGCAGATGTTCGTTGTAGGGGTGCAGCAATTCATTGGTACAAATAATTTAGTGTGACTGTTGCTAATGTATATGTAGATGCTTCCCTAGTCATCCCCATCAACCGGTAAACCTACCTAATGTGGCGAAAGCCACAGTGCACTGGGAAAGTGTATTAACTGTTCTGTAAGCTTTGGTAATAAGAAATGTACATTTGGATCACTTGGTCGAAATCCATGAAACTTACCATTATATCTTATTCGGTGGTGGCGTCGTAATTGTCGTGTTCGTTCGATCCTGTGTACCGTAATGCACATTTTTGTGATACAATGACTACCGTTCATCTCATTTGTTTTGATGAGCCTGGCGGAGAATAATCTTGCAAGAATGCATGGAAAAGATCATCTTTTTTTTGTTTTTTGTTTTTCAGATTTGGAGGTTTTTTTTTATCAGCGATGAAATGGCCCTTTTCTTTTTTGAATTTGAAATTTGGTAGAGGAACAATAAATGTTTGCTTACCTAAAATTACACTGTTTACATTACTTAAATTAAAATTAATAGTCATTCATCGTGCAACCCTATATATCAATTCAATTCAAAATTTTGATTGCAGAATAAATAAAGGTGACATGAAAAATCCAATGCAAATTTTTTCGGTGGATTAATGAATAATCTCTTTCTACTTCGTTCCTTCCTCATGCCAATTACAATCGATATTATTCATCCCGACTTGCTTGATTCGATATGATAATTGGGACATTAATTTGGTGAGAATGATTATTAATAATCTCTTGCTTGAATCTAGAATTACGACTCCTCATCCTGGACGTAGACCTTCAATTCAATTGGGACCGAGTCGATTTCATGAACCTGACGCTTCAACGCATGGGGGTTTCTTATTCTCCCATCATCGTTAAGCTTCATTCCAAAAGAAAAAGTGCAATCGGAACGACACACGACCACTCCCAACTAAAGCCTAGTGACATGGGGGGGGGGCACACACACACACTAATAAAGCACCCAAAAAGTTCCCCCGCCGTGGATCCATATCCACACATGAATCATTGAATCGTGTTGGTTTGTAATAATAGTGTAGGCATGAGATCGTCATCTACCTTTTTTTTTTATCATGTAATAATCTAACTTAAAAGTCATAGTTATGGGGAACACACGAGCGAGAAGAATATTTGGTGGATGAACAGACGTGAATGGCGCAAACAATTGACGTATACGACAGGGGGGGTTGAAAAGCTCAATAAAAAAAAGGGTGTAGAATCAAATAATTAATATAATGAATCACCCTAATTATTGATAGTAGGATTATGAGATCGAATTATGCCAAAGGTTGAGGGTAAACAGTAAGAGATCCTACTATCATGTTTCAATCTCAAGTAGCTTCTTGAATCAGTTCCGAAAGAGATCCAGTTAAACAGTAGAGCAAAATGCAAAAGAGATGTTTTAACAAGTAGCCAAACAAAGAATCTCTACGTAGGAGAGAACACAGTGATGACTTTAAAGAAACAAAAAAGATTAAGTTTAATGGCTGTTAAGTTTGGTATCATGCATCACGGAACCACATGAAAAATATTTAGGAACATATCTGCCTCTCTTTCTGATTTGCTAATGAGGAACAGTGGCAATACATACTATTTTAATCTTGGTAGTTTTCAGAGGAATATTACGGTTCATAATGATATATAGTCAACATTTCAGAAAGTATAGTAGGAGGATTCAGGATTTACAGGTGGTACTTAATTAGGGACATTAAAATGAGAAGATTAGTATCTTCACCCCACACAAGTTTCTATTTGTACTTACCCTCCAAATTATTTGCATGGAGAGACACACCATAACCCTAACACAGGAGGAGGAGGAGGAGGAGGAGGATCCTGTTGGAAGCAGAAGAAGATTCACACAACCACACGACCGTTCTGTACGACTGGGCTCTCCTCTATGCTCTCCAGCGTAGGTTTCCACACTTTAGCTTTTCCTCTCTCTTTCTCCATCTCTCGGTGCATCTCCGACAACACATCTTCCAGCCTCTGTTCCCCTTTCTCCTTCAGATGAAGCACCAGCCATTCCAGCTCCTTCCTCGTCAACAAGATCTTGACCTTGCAACTTCCTTCCTTGATGGCTCGTCCATCTCCTCCTCCAGCTGGCTTCATATCTTCTTCCAGCTGCTTCGGAGCACATCTCTCCATGCAGTTGCCCATGTCTCCCTGGCACCCAAGCTTCAGCTCCACAATCTTCTGGAATGGTTGTTGGACTGCAAGGGCTGGTTTAAAGATGAGCAATTAGTGGCATGCGTGTGTCAGAGTAGGGTTAAGCGAAAAGGTGGTGGTGGCTTCAAACTGCAAATTAACTATATGTTCCTACTGCACAAAATCTCCTCTGAGCTGGTGGCCATTGTATCGATGGCAAAATATACCTTTTACTGTTTGATAGCAATCCCTCTCTTTCTAAATCATGTGCAGTGCACCACACAGTCGAAAGTTGTCAGAGGACTGTCCTCCCCACTGATATCTTTTTTCCTGCTTGGTCACTTTTTCATGACACATTACCCACAATCATTTGATACTTATCTTTTGCCAGTTAAGAAGACCACTGATTTGCTTCCGTTAGTCGAGAAACGAAAAGTGATACTGCTTTAGGACAAGAACTTCGTAAGAGTCCTGCTCGAGCCAAGATATCTGCAAGCATTTCTCAATCAACAATTTATATGTCAAGCTATAGAAAACTAAAGCAGTGAATTAGCATTCGATGTTTCCAAGTGGTGCAGCATAGAGCAAAAGATGATACCATTCCAACCTTCTGAACCTTAAATTTAATGACCTGTTGTAACATCTAACATGCAGATCGTCGCTATAGGTAATGGCATAAATGGGTCAATATGGTTCAGTGACCGGATAAGACCAAGCAGGATTTGATAGAAACCAAACTGAAAACAAAAAGGTTTAAGGAGTCGAAGAAGAGTGAGCATATTTTAACTAGCAAGAAAACAAATAAAAGCTGCCGATGCACCGTAAGAGAGGTAGAATATGTTCCATCTTTTAGGTTCTGCAGGCATGCCTTCATTAACTGGTTTTATTAGATACTGAAAAGAAAAATCTACTTTGCCCTCACTTCACCTCAACAAATTCACTCCACATTATACACAAAAAGATGTTAACTCTGGGTCTTTTAAAGTTGTTCCTGGGTTATACAAAACCATTCTCATTCTAGTCAATTCTTTCAAATTAGTAGAAGGAGATTAAATTTTTGAACGACTAGATCAGTATTCTTTCCCTCCCGGTTTAATTTGTAAGTGGTGCCATGAATCAGTCATCTTAAATAGTAGGAAATGGGAGCATTCCTTAACCATTTTAAACTTCATAGTCAGTCTTTTAAAGGAGAAGAGGGGTGTAAGAAGGAGGTTGATCTTTGCCTATTAAAGGAAGATCGATGGTGAATGTCGATGGCCTCGACGGAAGAGGAATCGGAGGAGTGGATTTAGGTCACGACGATCAAACTATTATAAAATTGGTGTGTTCTTCTCTGATTTGCATTTCTATATTTGAGCAATTTACATTACTGCAAACTGAATCTTTACTTGCCTACTGCATTCACTTCATATACGAACGAGATTTCAAGCTATCTTTCCGAGTTCGGTTTCTAACGTACGAAAGAGTTTTATGAAACCGACGTAATTTACCGCTGCACTAATTCACCCCCCCCCTCTTAGTACCGATTTGTTCCTAACAGTGCCACGAATCAGGCATCTTAAACAGTAGGAAATGGGAGCGTTCCGTAACCAATTTAAGCTTCACAGTCAGCCTCCTTGCAAGATTGGGACTGCCCGTTGGTCACTGGTCCCCTCGTTCCTGACAGCATAAGCATGAGACAACCATAGTGTCATATATCACCTCCGCTCTTCGGCTGACTGTTGACACTCTTCTTGATGGGTTGAAATGGAGAACGCACGATGGTTATCACCTCCGCTCTGAAGGAGAAGATCAGAGCGTATCTCATGCTCTGGCCTGAAGATAGAAGAGCTGCTCTTCAATATCACTGGTAGCAGCTACATGGGAGCATTTGATATCATCAGTAACAATTTTTAAGTTAGGTCTTACATCGGATATCACAAGAGGTGTGCCATAAGAAGTATGCTTGTCAAATATCTGGCATCAGATATTTTGCATTAATTTGTTTGATAAAAAAAAGTGAACAGTTTATTGATTTGTTCTAACTCTTGCTTTCTTGTAATTTTACATTAATTTATTTGATTATCGAAACATATACAAATTCATTGGTCTTTTTTTTTTTGTTGAAAATTTTGGCTTCTTAACAACTCACATTCCTCTTCTATTAACTGATGCTCTCTTATCACTGGCATTTACCTTTTCCACACTATCAAATTCTTAAACTTGATCTCATCATCATGCTTAGGTAGGTAATAGTATAGTACAATCTTTTGGTCTTTTTATTATTCATGTATACCTCTAACTCAACTTTGACCTTTGCAGGATATTTTTTTACATTCGATGCATTTTTTTTTAAATTTATAACTTGATATTATTTTGATCGAATTATTGCATATTTCAGTGTCTTTTTGCAAACATACGTGACATTAGGATCCTTTGGATCCGCTAAATAATTATACTTTACATGAATCTTTTTTGAGTTTATTATTTATAATTCATTTAAAGTATTGTAGCTATGATTCAAGATCTTAGGGACAATCCAAAACACTAGAAAGTAGCGATGAGCCAATGACAAATTCAATCATTTACAAAATTCATATGTTATATTAATACTATAATTAACATAGCAAGAGGAGTAGGATAAGAGGAGCTTGTTGGGGGGTTGTTGTTGATTTTTGGTTATGAGGATGAGAGGAGCTCAGATGAATATGTTAGAGGGGGGGGGGGGGATTGAATTAGTGCAGCGGAAAACTTTCGACGATTAAAAAGGTGTTCGTACGATAAAAGCGATTTCGGTAGAAAAGCCGATTCGTAAATCTCTTTAACTTGTAATCAAGCGAGATGTAGTTAAAGAAAATCTATGAAGGCAGTTTGCAGTTACGATGAAAGTTAAAATGTAAGCGCAAACTGAAATAAGATGTTCATACGATAAAACTGATTTACGTCTAAACGTCGATTCGGAAAATACTTAACTTTAAAACACGATTGTAAATGTGTAGAAGGCAGTAAGCTATTGAGGAGGTTTGCAGTAAGGATAAGATGCTCAAAGTAAATGCAAACCAAGATTTAGAGTGGTTCGGTCAATCTTGACCTACATCCACTTTTGGCTTCCTCCACCGACGAGATCAACGACGTCTACTAGAGGCCTTCCTTCAATAGGCGAAGGCCAACCACCCATTTACAGTTTCACTCCTTTTGACGGGCTTAGGAGACAACCCTTACAGAATTTTCTCTCCTCTCTTTAAAGATCAGAACTTGAAAGAAAAGAGGGAGAAGAACTTTTGGCCTTTACAACAATTTTGAGCTCTAAAAATCACAGAATAAGATCAGGATTTCGGTGTGTTTTTGGTGCTCTTTTAGTGCTGAAAGGGTGGGGTATTTATAAGCCCCAACCCAGTTTGAATTTCGAGCTCAAAACTGTCAATTCCCAGAATTCTGGGATCTAGCGATTGCACCTCCTGATTGAGGCGGTTGCACCGCCTGACAGAGCTCAAAGACTGAGCCTCTGGGCGGTTGCACCTCCTACCAGAGCTCGAAGACCGAGCTCAAGCGGTGCCACCGCCTGACTAAGGCGGTTGCACCTCCTGCTAGAGCTCGAAGACCGAGCTCAGGCGGTGCCACCTCCTGTCAGGGGTGGTTGCACCGCTCAGTCTCGCTCGGAGACTGAGCCCAAGTGGTGCCATCGCCTGGCTGGGGCGGTTCAACCGCTTGGCAGAAATCAGGGTCCAAATGGGTTGATCCATTCGGCCCAATTTGGGTTTTTCAGGGGCCCAATTGCCCCAAGATTAAGTTAATGGGATCACCTCCCATTTCCAACTTAATCATTGTACTAACTATGATATTTCCTAAACATTTACTGCAACTTGCTCCGGTGCGTCAATCGCTTCTTCCGGCGAGCTTCCGGCGAACTTCCGTCGATCATCCGATGAACCCTTGGTGATGCTCCTGCGGACTTCCAGCAAACTCCTGGACTTGCAACGATCCACTTTGGCGAGTTCCCGCAGAGCCTCCGATGACTGTCCGAACTTCCGTCGAACTCTCGAACTCCCAACGTGATCATTGTCTTGATTCCGGCGTAACTCCTACTGCATATCTTACTTTCATCGTAGTTAATCCTGCACACTTATCTCAACATATAGATTAGATAACAAATGACAATTGACTTCATCATCAAAATTCGAGATTCAACAATCTCCCCCTTTTTTATGATGACAATCAATTGATAATGGAGTTAACCTTAACTCCCTCTGTCTATATGCCATACTTGAGATAAGTGAATTCAAAATCTTTGAATTAAAGAGACATATTGATAAGTTAAAATCATTTAAACTTATCAATACTCCCATTATGATTCACATCATGATGTTTCTCTCTGAAGATGATGTCAAGGCTTGACATTCATTTTCAAATTTTACATTACCAGTTTGAATGATGGTAATAGTAGCAATTCATCATATTGTAAGATGTCAACATGTAAAACTGCGAAGTAAGATTTTGATATCATTACATGATGCACACATTTCAAATGTTTTAGCAATTATTGTATTTCATCACATGGTAAGATATCAATACGTAAAATTACGATGCAAGTTTTTTGTTTGATATCTTGACACGATACAAACAAGGCATAGCATAGCATTAATACTCATATATTTCTCCCCCTTTGTCATCAACAAAAAGTGTGGTAATTGTGATACCAGGAGAATAATATAAGCAAAATTTGAGCATAAGTGTGATAATTGTTCATGCCTTTACTAGGTTCATGTTATTTTCCAATAGTGAGTGATAGGAAATCAATTATACAAGCATATAAAGGAAAGCATGATATGTAGATCGCTTTGAGTACTTCTTCATTTTTATTTGTTATAATCTTTTTGCATGAAGGAGGAAGGTT